CTTTATTAGAAAAATTCGAGCAGTGAAAATCTTTAACAACCCTCTGTGCCAACTTGTAACTCATTTTTCAGGGTCATTATCAGAAGAATACTTCTTTAGTTTCTGTAACATACCTACAAATTTAATACATAGCATCTGCTTCCAGATGAAATACACTGCAGCCCTTATACATGATCAGATTGTAGCTGATCTATGCAGAAAAATACCTATACTGTGTATGATTCAAGACATTACTAAAGAAATAGCAGTGGTCCTAGAGTCCTCATGGACAGAAGGTACCACAGATGGACAGATTAATTGGAGCATAATGTCTAAGAGTTCAGATTGATTTTTCCTCTGTTGTCATGAATTGCCTTTTTTGTACAAATATAAAAATTCTGGGCTGTGCTCTAGGTGGATTAAATAGAAAACACGGCACCTATCACAGAACTATTGCCTATTGAAGCCCGCCTCTTAATTCAGGCATCAAGGCTTTACTTCCTTGCTTCAGAGAAATTACAGACATCAATTAAATTAGTCAACACATCTTCAGAGCTAATATTAAGCCTTTAAATCTTATGTTAACATTCATGGTAAATCTTCTTTGCTAACCAAAACCACCCAACGTTTTCCTACTAGTTGATTAATTATAATTCATTGTCACTTTCTCCTTCTCTTCTTACTACCCACTGGTTTAACACTCCTGATCCAGCACTGTATATTCCTTAGCCAATGAAGGAAAATCTCATGATTGTCTTTCTGAAATTGAAGAAGTGTCTCTGCATCAAACAGAAATTGATACCCTAGTACCAAATTCCAACTTACTATTGTTTGTTGATGAGTATTATATTAAAAACAAAGAGGACAATACAAGATTTGATTTGCAACATATGCAATAAATAGTCCAGTCCCTCTCATAAAGTCCGATTTCTTCACAGAAGCCAAATCATTCAATGACTGAACTGTGGTCCTTTCTAGGGCATATAAAATTGACGAAATAGAAGAGAAGGTATATAAACTAATAATTGATACGTTTCCAAGTAATTCACTTATGTAACTTGCTATAGAAACACCTTCCTCAGGTATTGTTTAAAACTGAAAAACAAATGTGAATTACTCGGTGCCTTGATGCCACGTGAAATAATCCTAAACTCAGGTCCTTCAGAGAATGTCCAGAAGCAGAAGCATGGATGTTGAATGCTAACCCAAGAACAAGCAGATGACCACATGAAGAAGGAACCTTCTTGACAATATTCGCAGATGACATACCTACAACTTCTTTAAAGTTGATCACATCTCTTGTACAGCTCCTGGGTTCTTTACCCTGTGCTGAAGTCAGGCTTTTTAATGTCAATCCAGAACCAAGCTTGGTTGTTCAGTAGGGCTGCTAGTTAGGACATCCCAAGGACTAAATATCTCCTTACAAAGAGTCCAAAAGGATAAAATGCTTTCAAGAAAGATTCCTCAGAACAGTTATCACATCCACAGGAATTAGACAACTTAAGGTTTTCATTTTTTTAAAAATGGTTGACATAGTAAAGAATGCCTAGCTTGAGTGACACAGTAAATTATACAGCCTGTGCACTGGGGGCACAACAAACCAGTTTAAACGTGGTAACCCAAGTAGTCCTGACTAACAGAATCACCTCAGATTTTCTTTCGGCCAATCAGGGAGGTGACTACCCCATAGCTTACACTCCTTGCTGCACCTGGACTAACACTACAGGTAAGGCAAAACAATCTGCTTTTAAGCTAAAAGAAAAGGCAACCTTGCTATCTCAGATAGACACAGTGAAACTTTGGGACCCGCTTTCTTGATCAGGACTGGAAAATCTTGGGTCATAACTGGGGAGATCTTCCAATCTCTTCTTGTAATACTTCTGGTTGTACTTTGTCTCAGAGTTGTTCGATGTCTGTTGCCCAGAGCTTTAAATTCTTCTGCACAGTATCGTCCTGACAAATGATTCAAAATCATGTTGATCAAAGTGCACTCTGAATATCAGACATTGACAGGTGAAATTTCATCTTCAAGGAGAACCAACAGCAGTGGCAAAGATCTGGACAATCCTTGAGGGTCTCTCTTGAAGCTTTGGCTGAATGAGGACTAAGAGTGGAGGACTGAGAGCTCAGTGTTCCCACAAACCGGGGGCAAGCTGAGTGTCTGTAACCTAGAACCAGCCTGAAACTTACTCTGTCAATCAAGGACAATTCATCTCAGTGGACTGGCTTTTGCAAACCAACCTGTCAGTGTCAGTCCCTCACTTCTGCAAGTCAGGCAACCAGGGTGGACTCATTCTAATGAACTCCCATCGGTGTAGCAACCAATCAACAAAGCTGCTCACACATACTGGTGATGACAACCCACTTACACCCCGGAGAGTCCACCTATCCCTGAACTCTGCACTTGAAAAAACGCCCTCTCTGATCAGCGTTCTGCTCTGCTCAGAGAGATTGTGCCCAAGGACCATAGTTCTCTTGCACTCTAGTGAGCAATAAACTCAGCTTCGTCTTTTCATTTCCAATCTTTAGGAGTGGCCTCATCATCTTCTGGCAAGGATGAGTCCTCTCTCTCGCGCGTGGCAGTTCCCACATCAGTGTCTGACATATGTGAGGCTTTCAGTACCTTTGAATAAAACTCAGTGGATGAAAAAACAGAGAAGAAGGGTTGTGTTTCCCTAGGTAACACAGCTAGTTGGCAGTAGAACCGTATTTAGAAACTTTGACACCTACTACCATAGAGAAATCAGGAAGTCTGGTTTGCAATTAACCCTTCACAGTAACATGAGGACAGAGGCAGCCCCATATTAAATGCGGAGCTCTGGGTCACTTAGAGGCATTGCAAAGCCAAGGGACTAATTTTGAATCTTAGCTGGCAGAGAAAATGAAACAGTGCAAAAAAATATATAAAAGCACAAAGATGTGACAATGCTTTGTTCCGCTGTCTTCAAAGCAGAGCAGCGAGAGCCCCTCAGAGACAGAATTGTAATTGCTTTTCCCTTTTACAGTGTGTTTGGTACTGACTGTAATGTGTGTTTACCTGGATAAGCGCCCTGGGAGAAGGGGACCCACTGAAGGAGGGCCCTTGAAGGTGGCAGGTCCTCTTGTGCCTGACCTGGATGGATGCTCACACACATGGACATTCCAGGCAGTGTGTTCCCTCTCTTACCAGTCAGCACTCCTTGTTCAGTTTAGAAATCGAATAATCAGGGTTTCCCAAATTTGGCACTATGGACATTTTTGCCTGAATAATTCTTTGTTGTGGGGGCTCTCCTGTGCCTGGCACAATTTTTGGTAGCATCTCTGGACTCTACATGCTAGATGCCATTAGCACCCTCCCCCAAGTCTTGATAATCAGAAAAATCTCCAGACATTCCAAGTCTTCCTTGGGGGACAAAACCACCCCTGGTTGAGACCATTGTTCTAGATAAAAGGACAAGTAGCCTCTGATCCTCTTTTCCTTCTTTCTTCTAGAATTATGCCTTCCTACACCTCTGCTTACTTTAAGCTGGATTGATTAGTCATGGTTGGAATTAGCTACTGACTCTAGAAAACAGTCATATACAGAGCTCATAGTAGGTGTTTATCTCCCTCAAAAAACTGAACTCTTCATGGGCAAAGGTGATGTCTTTTTTTTTTGTTTTTTTGCTGAGGAAGATTTGCGCTGAGCTAAGATCTGTTGCCAATCTTCCTCTTTTTTTTTTTTTTTTTGCTTGAGGAAGATTCACCTTGAGCTAACATCTGTGCCAATCTTCCCCTATTTTGTATGTGGGTCACTGCCATACTATGGCCGCCTACAAGTGGTGTGTAGGTCTGTGCCTGGGAACCAAACCTGGGCCACTGAAGCAGAGTATGCCAAATTTAACCACTAGGCCACAGGCCTGGCCCTAAAGTTGATGTCTTTATCATTCTTTTACCCCTTCCACCAAGCACATGTACATTTAATTGAATTTACTTTGTTGTCTCACAGCCAATAACACAAAGTTGGGGGGGGGGGTGCAGCATAGGTTTCTGATCTAACTTAAATATGTGAATTAAGTTCAAGGGATCATCCTTGGCAATGAATTGGGAAGGGGAGGGGCAGTCTACACATCCAATGGATCCCATTCTTATATAGTTCCTGAATCTTGAACCACAGCGTCAGACTATTAAGAGTTAACATAGCAGGAAAGCGTGGGTGAGAAAAGATGAGAAAAGAGCCCTCACTGTCGCTGTAGCAGTTGTCGTACATTAAATGCCATGTGTAAAGAGCTGGGGAATGTCTATCTTAGATTTTTAATTTCCTCCTGTAGCTTTACTCATGTTCGGGAAGGCAAACAAGTGGTCCTCAGCTGCACCTACAGCCTGATGGGGCTGTGGGGCTAGACCCAGAAAGTAGCACAAGGCAGTGGAAGCAGATAACAAACACAGGCTCTGAGACAGGTGGGAGCAACATCTTTAATCTTGCATCAGGAGAGGAAGAAGCTGCAAAACAGTAGTGAGTAACCCAGAAGATACCACATTTTGCAAAGATAGTTGCTTTAATTTGCAAGGAAAAAGATAGACTGGGTTTGAAACATTAATCTGCTTTGCCTGATGGATGGCTGTCTTCCTGCCAAGCCACGTTGCCACCCCTCCCTTCTCTCCTCCTTGAACATCCTTGCTCTGAGTGCAGGAAGCTGCAAGACTACCTGGTGCAGCCCAGACACCAACTTCTTCAGATGCTCTAAAGGATGTTATAGATCCACAGACTTTCCCAGCCAAGCAGGACTCTAGAATTACGTGGTCCAAATCCATCATTTTATATATAAGGAAGTAATCCATCAGAGATGGTACAGGACATCATTAGCTCTGTGATACTAAGCGTATCAGAGCAAAGGAAGTCTCTGATGATTTCTTTCTGTTTCTCAGTCTACTCCTTTACTCCCCCTCCCACCTAGAAACTTAAAATTTCCACTTTCTACAAACCTGGGGGGGAGGTGTGCTGGGAATAAAGCCTGCACAAATGCAAGTAAAGTATTTTTAAGGATCGCTGTAACACCCACCTCCACAGCCTCGGATAAGGGTGAGACGCTGTTGGTCTTTCTGGAGCCCACGCGGAACTTGGCGGCCTTGTAGATCTTCCAGTATACGAAGAGCACCACGCAGAACGGCAGGTAGAAGGCGCCCACGGTGGAGAACACTGTGTAGGAGGGCTCGCGGCTCACCTGGCACTCCTCGCTGCCCTCAGAGTAGGTTTCCCCCCAGCCGAAGAGCAGCGGGGTCAGGGAGATGACTGCCGAGAGCGCCCAGGTGAGGGCGATCATCACGTTGGAGACGCGCTTACGGGTGCGCAGCGTGTATTCCAGGTGGCGGGTGATGGACCAGTAGCGGTCCAGCGCGATGGCCGTCACATTCCAGATGCTGGCCGTGCAGCAGAGCACGTCGCACGCGATCCACAGTTGGCACAGCCGCCGGCCCAGCTGCCAGCGGCGCCCCGACAGCTCATGCACCAAGCTCAGTGGCATGACCAGAGCTGCCACCAGCACGTCCGAGATGGCCATGGACGCCACCAGGTTGTGCGGAACGCGATGGAAGGTGCGCACACGGAGAATGGTCGCCAGCACCAGCAGGTTCCAGGCGAATGTCGCTGCTACCAGAAAGCCCATCAAGGTCAGAACAAGCACGCCGAAGACAGAGAGGAGAGGCGGGCTGGGGCGCGGGTCTTCTGCCTCGAGGCTGCGGTTGGTTTCCAAAGGAGCGGGAGCGGAGAGGGAAGGATAGGTGAGGTTCCCGGGTAAATCCATCTCTGGGTCAGGAGACCGGCCCAGGGTGCGTGCCGAAGGGGCGTTAAGAAAGATGTAAGGTGGCCACTGCGCCCAGAGCCACTCCGGATGTTTGCAACCTCTAACCACTGGCGGGGTTTCTGGGGAGTGCCCGTGAAACTGGCCCCAACCTCCTGCCAGTGAGCATCCGTGGGAGATGGTGTAGCGGGTGGGAGGGCGCTGGGGTGCAAGTCGCGCCAGGTCTGAAGCCCTCAGAGGCTAGGAAAGCAGAAGCAGGGGCTGCGTCTCGTAGCCAGGGTCCGCCTGAGCTGTCACATGCCTAGGCTCTTCACCTCGCCGAGACAGCAGTCTTGTCGGCCAGAACCGAGCATCTCCCAAGTCGGGGAGAAGCTGGGCGGCCCCGGAGCGTGTGGGTGCCAGGAGAGGGGCTGGTGCGTCAGAGCAGTTATCGCCGCGTTGCCTTTCTCCAGACAGCGGGCTGCAGCCTCAACTCCGTGCTGGGCAAGCCGAGCAGGCACCTGCTTTCTGGGACCTGCCTTCTGCTATTCCCCCTCCCCCTCCTCACCCTGTCTGGGGCTGCGGCTCCAGAGAGCGAATGCTGGCGCGCCCACCCAGACCTGCCTTATCAAACTGGGGATCCAGCCTACGTAAGGCATCAGCTGATAGGGCCGCCTCTCCCCGCCTCTCCGCTCTGAGCGCGCAGCGTTGGCGCTGTCCATGGTGCTGCCGCCTTTCTCCGCCCGAGCGCGTCTCTACACTTGGTACTGTCCATGGTGCTGCCTCCTTGCCCTAAAATGAGTTCCCTGCGTGGAACAAATTTAGCAATGAACTTTCCTTGAAGTGTTCCTCTAGCCACCCCCTACCACGTCCCTCCAGGGGTGGTCTGGATGCTTTGAGCGGGTTCTTAGCTTCCCATGGGTCTTGCCTTCAGTACATGTGTTCCGAGTTAAGGGTCTAAGATGATTTCTCTGGAAGATTTCAGTATGCGATGGCTTCCTTCTTACACAACACCCAGTGCTTCCCTCAAAGGGCTGTTTTCTTTTAAGGAGAAAAGGCAAAAGAGCAGTTACTGCTGTTCCAAGAAGTGACTTAAGTATTGGGACTAGAACTTTCCTCCACAAAAAGCTGAAGTTTCTTTAGTGGGCTCTACTAAATTTGCTTCTTGCAAAGGGAAAAGTTGGATACAAGATATTATAAAAGCTCCATGTCACTCGAAAAAAGGGACACATTTAACTCTTTCCCCACACACATAGAACCATGTACACACCCATAGTAATTGAGAAAATATCAAAAGCTCCTACCCAGAAGTTATGATTTAAAGCACTTCACAAAGAGACACATGGTATAGGAAGATAAAATAAATTAAAATAAGGAAAATGAGATTACATAAAGGAAAGTAATTTGGCATTAAGCTTTTTTTTTAAGTGCATACAATTGGTGTCATGAAATCCTGTACATTTACAAGTGGTTGGCCACAAATTCGGTCAGAAACTTTTTAGGTATTTGAAAACGAGAAATATGTTTTGTTAGAGATTCAGTTTCTAACAGAGTAAGACAAGCATCAGGAGAATGCACTGCAAAGAGAGAAACTCCTCTAATGGACCCAGAGGAGAAGACACTGTTAGGAAATGTTGATGAGAACGTTATTCCTTAAATACAAGATTATCTGCAGAGCTGCTTCACCAAACATCCCTTAAAAACAGCTGATGGTGGCTGCCTATGTGCAGTGCCGCTCTGTGTGGCTCTAGTCAAGGGGAAGACTTGTGTTTGTTTAGAGCACATCACCTTTTTGGAGCCATGGAAACAATTGGAATGAGATGTAACCTATGAATCCTCTTCCTTGAAAAAAAAATGCTCTGAACAGTCCTGAATTCAGTTTCAGGGGCCCATGACCTGTAGGAATGGATGAGCTGCATAGCCAGCAGGCAGCGTTGTTGATGGTATCTCTTGATACAGATCTTGAAAGGCATCCTGGGCTTGCAATTATGTTCCCCATGGCACTGCATGGCGCAGCTGTCTGTACTGATAGTTAAGTGAGCAGCTGTCTATAAGGAACAAAGCCAGGGACAACTGAAGATATTTTGTGAAAATTGGAGTGTCATAAAGTTAAGAACTGAACAGAATCCTCTCACAAAGAAGGGATCCGATGGAGTATTTCCAGGAGAACCAAATTCTGTTGAGATATTCTGGCTTACCTTTTATACAAACACAAAGGAAAAACCAGAACATTTCAGCTTTTTTATCTTAAAGCATGGCCATAATTTTTGTTTGAAAAAAATGGAAACAGGTATAAAACTCCCGTCTGCCATAAAGCACCTCTGAAATGCCAGCTTTGAGGACTAGAACTTCCTGGTTTATCACTCATGGGCTGAATAGTGTTCCCCTCTCCCTTGAAATTCATATGTGGAAGTCTGAACACCTAGTACCTCAGAATGTGACTGTAATTGGAAATAAGGTCTTTAAAGATATGATAAAGTTAAAATGAGGCTCTTAGGGTTGACCCTAGTCTGATCTGACTGGTGTCCTTATAAGAAGGGGAAACTGGGACACACAGAGACACCAGGGATGTGCATGCACAAAGGGAGGACCACTTGAGGACACAGCAAAAAGGCAGCCACCTGCAAACAAAGGAGAGAGGCCTCAGGAGAAACCACACCTGCTGACACTTTGATCTTGGACTTCCAGCCTCCAAAACCGTGAAACAGAAAGTAAATTTCCGTTGCTTAAGCCACTCAGTTTGCAGTGTTTTGTTACGGCAGCCCTAGCAAACTAACACACCACTGAGCAAAACATCCTCGCAAAAGATACAGCCAGAGAACTCAGTGAGGTGGTGTGCTTATGGGGGTTTTACAGACATAGTAACAAATTACGGGGCATCTACTGAAACAAGTCTTTTTAAACTGTAGTTTGTGGCCATTCTAGCAATAATTAGATGGCAGGCTCAGTTGTCCACTGGGGTTACTTACACTTTGTGATTAAGCCCTACCATCGGCATGTAGAAAAATGCTTATTTTATATTTTCTGTAGTGGGAAAGTATGCATCTATTTCATTCAAATAGGAGCTGATTCTTAACTACAAGTTTGAAAGTAAGAAAAAATGGGAAATGCAGAACATAACCGTATTGTATCCCACTTGCAACGATTTGATGGGTAAAATTTTCTTACCTGACCTAACTATCACAATTTTATGAAATCAATAAATCATTAAATGGTCATTCTCATCATATACAAACTATATTGTATACCAGGCATCACATAAGTGTCCCTATATGATCATACCTCAAAAAATTGTGAAAGGAATTGTTGTCTCCATTTTATAATTGAGGTAACTGAGTCTTGGAGATGAAATAACTTGCAAAATCACATGAGATTTGAAGCTGAGTGTGACTCCAAGCCTGTGCTCATAGTCAGTATGTTTTACTGTGCAAATAATCAGGATTTCACAATAGTCACAAGCTAAGCCCCTGTCTTAATCAGCTTGGGCTGCTCTAACAACATACCATAGACTGTGTGGCTTAAACAACAGAAGTGTATTTGTTGACTGCTCTGGAGTCCAGAAGTCTGAGATCGGAGTGCCAGCGTGGGCAGGTTCTGACCAGGGCTCTTCCTTGGCTTGCAGACGGCGGCTTTCTCGCTGTGTCCTCACATGGGGAAGAGAGAGAGAGAGAGAGAGACAGCACAGTCCTGCGGGATAAGGGCCCTACTCTCACTTAACCTTCGAAAGATTCCATCCCCAGAGACAGTCACATTGAAGGTTAGGGCTGCAACATATGAATTTTGGTGAGGAGGAAACACCACTCAGTCACCGCCGCCCTAAAAGACCAGTTACGGACAAGGGAAAGATCGAAGCAATTCACAGAACTCAGGGTTATTCCTAACCAATTTTCCCAAAGGTGATAGAATACAAGAACATCCAGAAGGGCCATTCCTAATGTTTGTCTTCTCTATATGCTTCCCGATGGCCAGAAAAATCCAGGCTTTCTGTTTTGTCAAGAAGAAAACAGAAATCTATTATGGACGGAATGACTAGTATGCATTCAGCTTACAAATGAAGGGATAGTGGTCCTGAGACTTTTTAAAAAATTGCTTACTCCTATTTGTATATAAAAAGTCTATTTTCTTTTCCATATAGTTCACTTCAAGGTAGAAACGACCATATATCACAATATACTGAAAACTAAAGAATGAGGGTGCTGTCAGCTGGTAGAAATCCTGCTCTTACTCAAGCTAAGTTGGTACACAGCATAGGACTAAACAGAATAAATGTGCTAGTCACAATCTAGATTAAATAGGATGAAGTATATTTTTTTTCCTTTTTCAAAGGATGAAAAAATAGAAGTTATTTCCATCCAGAACCCCCATGATTGCCTTACACACACCTGTGCGCATGCACCTAGTTTGGAGACCACTGATTGAGGATAATTCTCTGGGTCCTGTGGTGTAGGACAGTGTGCAGGGACTTGGTTAGAGTGAGCATGTAGCAATGGTCAAAGGGCATCATTCAGAGCAGCTCCAGGGGCAGTAAACCACCTGCCGCCCTCTCTCAGCGGATGCACACCATCTTGGTCCGCAACTCCACATCTCCCTGAATCTGTGAAACTGCCCTGTGACTAAATGAACTGGGTAAACTACCCCAGCCACAGGAAATTCATTAGTCTGAATAATTAATTTCTCAGGTCAGAAAACTTTTCTTAATTATTGTTTTCCCATCACACTCAGCAAAGAGCCTTAAATGTATTAGACTCCAAAAGTATTTGCTGAAAGAGCAAAATCAGAAAAAAATTTATCTCCTGAGTAAACTACTGATTTTGGTGTATAATGTAGACACAACTAAGGATATCTGAGTGGAAGCATTGCAATATAGAAATTAAGTTAACCTCTCTTGTGGGAACCTCAGAGCAACGATGCGATACTTCTTTGAAGCACAGTTATTATAAAGAAGGTGAAATGTTAGGAATGAATAGATGCTAAATTTTTATTGAAATCCTATAGAGTAAGATTAGGACAAGGTTATGGAAATTGCACCTCTTGGATAATATGGTGCTGCTCCCATAATTATTGCAACAAGGGACAGGACCAGAGTAGTGGTGAGGAGAGGCCAATTCACAGGGAGCTATGGAGATGGTTAAAAGAACACAGTGACCCTAGACGCTAAATAGATGGGCAGTTGGCAAGGGTGTTGCTTAATGTGTGCACTCAAAACAAACCAAGCACGGATGATTAGGAGGCCAATGGTAGGTAGTCTAACAAAAAAGCTGCAGTCCCCTGCCCCATTATCAGAACTGAATCACTTCTCAGGCCCAGAACCCAGTGACTGAAGGAGAGGCCAGGTGTCTGTGATGAACGACTCTGCAACACAGTGCCAGGTGTACTCAGTAGAAATATCCTTGGTCCTTCCCTCAAAGTACCTAGAGCTATAGTCACAGGTAACTGTCCCTGGAGGAAAGGAAAGATCCAGGCCTTCTGAGGACTGTTGGACGCAGAGTCTGAACTGACATCAATACTCAGGAATGCCAAGTGCCACTATAGTCTCCTTGTTAGAGTGTGGTGATTGGAGGTCAGCTAGTCAAAGCCCAGCTCAGAGTGGATGCATTGGGCCAGTGGAGTCCCCCCCCCCCCCACAGTGGTTATTTGTCCAGTTCCCAAGTATATGATTGGAATGCACTTAATGGCAGTTGGCAGAACCCCACACTGGTTCCTCCCTATCTGACACTGTAGGTTAAAAGCTATTATAATAGGGAAGGCCAAGAGGAAGTCCTCAAAACTTCTCCTCCAACTTGACAGCCAAGATAGAAAATAATAAAAACAGTAACAACAGCAACCCAGCTGGGGAGAATTGGCCGATATTATCACCTCCCTGTCTTTTCCACATGTAATTCACTCGTTGGTCCCTGTGATACCAGTTGGATCCTGAAGACGACAGTGATCTACCACAAACTTAGTCAAGTATTAGCACAGTTGCACAGGCTGTGCAGGACTGGCTGAGTTGGCATATTTGCTGGAGTGGATTAACACAGGCTTCAGTACCTGGTATGCAGCCACTGATCTGCCGACTGAGCTCTTTTCCATTCCTATCAGACAGGAGAATCAAAGCTGTGCGAACTCACATGGGACAGCCAACGGCAAAGGTTTATGTTCTTGCTCCAGGGCCACGTTAACTTTCCCTCTTTCTGTCATAAAATGGTCTGAAGGACCCTGGATCATCTAGATTAATGGTTTTCTAGGTGTGGTCCGTAGACCCCGAGGAGCCCCTCAGACCCTGTCAGCGAGCCTGCAAGGTTAAAACTATTTTCACAATAATATTAAGATATTGTTTGCTTTTTTCACTGTTGACATTTTCGTTGAGGGTGCAAAAGCGATGGGGAGTAAAGCTGTAGGCCCCTGAGCATATATCAGAGCAACGGCATGAAATCTTGGCAGTAATCGCAGGTGCTCCTCACTGCCATGCGCTCATAGGAAGAAAAGAGAAAATGGCCAGTTTCGCTTAAGAATGTCCTAAGGAAGCAGTAAAGTTACTAACTGTGTTAAAGCTTGACCTTTGAACACACATGTTTTTAATACTCTGCATAACAAAGCGGAAGGCGTGCAAACAGCATTTCCAGAGCGCTGAAAGATGACGGTTGTCTTGAGGAAAAGCTCTGGTGTGATTGTTTAGATTTGAACTGAACTAGCAGCTTTTCAAAAATAAAACACCATTTTCACTTGAAAGAACACCAAAAAACTATCATTATTCAGTCCTGAGTATTTGGCAGACATTTTCTCAAAAATGATTAAAGTGAGTCTTCACTTCAAGGAAAACGACTGACAGCGTGTGTTGCCCATAATAAAATTTGAGCTTTCAAGTGAAAATTAGAACTTTGGAAAACACATAACTGCCACTGTGAATTTGACAGCTTCCCAATACTTAAAGACCTTTCTGATGAGATTGGCGGTCATATTAACAAATGTCATTTTTTGATATGAATAATGAAATGTGTCAACATCTGGAAGATCCATATAACTCAGTGAGCCAACATTATCCAAAGGACTGGAGCATGATGCTACAAAATTGTGAGTGGATAAAAGATCCATTTCATAGAGTAAAATAGACCAATGGATTTTAATCTAAAAGAGTACAAAAAGTGCATGATATGGTTTCAGATTCCACATTGCAATAAACCTTTAAGAAACTACCACTGACTGAGTTTTGGTCTACCATCACAGAAAACACCCATAATGATCTATTAAAACACTCCTCCACTTAGTTATCTGTTAAGGTACTCTCCCATTTTTCAGCCATATATCACTGTGAGGCTGGATTCTCTTCATAAACTGAGACCAAAATAGCATATCACAACAGATGGAATGCAGAAACACATATGAGAGTCCAGCTGTCTTGAAGAGATTTGCAAAAATATTAAACAATGCCACTCACAATTATTTTGTTTTGGAAAATACAGTTATTTTTCATAAAGACATCATTTATATAAACATGTAATGATTTATTCTTTTAGTTTTAGTGGATTAATACACAAAAATGTTTAAAATTTCTCCATTTAAGTTTCTATTCCAGCAATATAAATGTATATAACCCATGTAAACAAAAGCTCCTTGGGGCGCTCAATAATTTCGAAGAACGTAAAGGCGTCCTGAGACCAGAATGTTT